ATATATATATATATATATATATATATATATATATATGGAAGCCCGTAATTGCGACTTTTTATTTCACAATTCTGACTTTTTTTCCCTATCAGAATTGTGTTATATAAACTTGCAATTGCAAGAAAAAATCTGAATTGGGAGATGTAAACTCGCAATTACAAGAAAAAAGTCAGAATTGTGAGATATAAAATCACAATTCTGAGAAATAATATAAAGTCGCAATTCTAACTTTTTTCTCAGAATTGTGAGATATAAACTCGCAATTGTGAGTTATCAAGTCAGAATTGTGAGATATAAACTCACAGTTGTATATTATAAGGTCAGAATTGTGACATATAAAAACACAATTCTGAAGAATTCCGAAGATGTGAATTTGCAATTACGAGAAAAAAGTCTGAATTGCGAGTTTATATCTAGCAATTATGACATTCTTTCTTGCAAGTGAGAGTTTATATCTCACAATTCCGAGAAAAAGTCAGAATTACCATATATGAACTCACGATTTTGAGAAAAAAAAGTCAGACTTGTGAGATAAAAAGTCGCTATTACCTGGTTTTATTTTTTATTCGGTGGTGGAAATGGGCTTCCATAGTTTTAAGTTAAAACAAGTCAAGTAACATATTTTGCATCTGTCTTGCAGGCATTTGCAGGTAACTCCAATACAGAGAGTGTGGTTCGGCATGACCTGCAAAACCCGATTGTGGCCCGTTATTTGCGCCTCATTCCTTTAGACTGGACTGAAGAGGGACGGATCGGCCTCAGGTTCGAGATCTATGGGTGCCCGTACTGTAAGTTGACTCTGCACTGTCATATTTCACATCAATATAATCGAGTAAATATCAGCAAAGATGGCATCATAGAAGTTACTTACATGATGCTGAAGCCTGTTGGTATTTTCATCCTGGAACTGAGTATTATTTTTTTATTATGTAGCCTGATCTTTATTATAGCTGTAACATTTGCTAAGCTCAGAATAAAATTGACTGTTTTATCTATTCAAAGTTCCTTTTCATGCTGAGGAAACATGGTTCTATGCTTTTTTGCATTACTAGAATTATTAATATGCAGTGCAAGGTGGCAATATGTATTCGGGAAGATCCTGGTACAATTAAGAGACATTTTTTTGAAAGTCAAGGTCAGCTATCCATCACATACAAATCCACATTTCCATGATTTGCGCAAATAGTACGACACCCTGCTGTTTACTAAAACTGAGAAGAGAACTTATACTGTGTGCTGTAAAATCAAACAGAATATTTGTCAGTTTGATGTTTTGGTGTAAATATAAAGTTGAGACAAACAAAAATGTTTAAGTCTTAAAAATAGTTATCATATTTTAACCTTTTAATGTGTAGTTTTACATCAGCTGTTATTACAGTAAATCAATCAAAACAGTTGTAACTTGAGTCCAAAATGAACTTTTTGACACTTTTAAAAAATGTAAGATATTTCTTTCAATATGAAATATTTCAATATATTTTTTCAATATTAATCAAATCAAATTGTATTACATTTATTATTATTATATTAGATTAAAATTTTAATATATATATTTATAATTTATTTACTATGAATAATTTGTTTAATAATTTAATGTATGTTATAATTATGTCCCTTTGGTAGGTTATGAGATTAAATTTAATGACATATTAAAAATGTAGATATTTCTTATATTATTTTAATAATAATAATATTTTATTGTTATAATGTGCACTTTATTCATTTGTTTAGAATTTATTATAATTAATTTATTTAATAACTTAATTTAGAATAAATTTATGTCCCTCTGACAATGGTATTAACTTTTTTGTTCACTTGGCAACAGTATTGGGTGTAACTCGTTACTACTGTAAGTAACTTATCCACTGAAAAAAGTAAGGTAATTAAGGTCATTCTTAGGTAATTTAGTTACAGTTACTTATAAAGTACGTGCATACTGTAAATAATTTCAACAGTTCTAAAATCAATATTGAATTTGAAATATAAATTTATCATCTAAAGGTAAAATTGAATGCAGCATCTTTAACCCTCTGCGCCGGCGTGTTCACTTGCAGTTTTTCCTGATGACAGAGAAAAGACCCTAAAATACTCAGATACAGATAAGGCTAAGATATCAATCGAATCTGTAAAGGGTCTACTTTTATTTGTGTTTACTGACAATAACAGCAAAACATTGTGCTTTTGTAAAATAAACAAAACAAACACTTTCTGCTGTTTTGGTCTCCGTGAACTTCTTTCTGAAACTCGTCACAAAAATTAACCAAAACTCTGCGAATACTAGACACACAGACGTGAGAAATATGTCAATAGAAAACCTGAAGTGTCTACTTTTAAATGAAACAATTCAAATAAAAAACAAATTCTCTGATTATTTAATCCGTATGAAACCAATGCGAGGTAAAATCAAAATTCATCTACTTTTCATCGTTTTTGGAAGAAGACCTGCTATAAGCCAGAATTTACCTGAGAAGGTGATCTTACCTGTGATCTGACGCGGCTTTATTCAGCAGAGGATATCATTTCTGTAATTTATTCTTACTTACATTAGTTAACGTTATTTTCACATAAACTTGTACGCATTTTACTAGTTGGGCTTTAAACTATGGCAAACTGAAATGTGTGAAAGCGAGTAAAATTTGCTGAAATATGATATACATTCATATACAGTATATACAGGCAACTTATTACATATAGGCTAAATGTCGTACGAAACGAGGATGTAAATGTTTTGCTATCATATAATAAAAATATGAGATATAATACGGATATAGATATAAAGTAATGTGAATGTTAACACTGCATCATGATGAATGTTAGGAATGTTTAGATCAGTGTTTACTGATCTACTATCAGATGTTGATGTTTATAATGTGCTAAGCAATAAGAATTTTGTTTATAAAATAGCATAATGTTGTTTATGACCTGTGTGGTAATACAGACAAAGCATATGTGCATGAATGACAGTACAAAATCATGTTATTTTTTGTTAGTAGTGGACATAATTAGTATTAGTAACTGCTAATGTCGTATACATATATAGTATGTCAGTGTGTATGAAATATGGTACTCATTGCTTTGAAAAGTTTCATGCTTACAGCTTGATACATGTACCCCTGGTTTCACAGACAAGGCTTAAGCCTAGTGCCAGACTAAAATACATTTCTGAGCTGTTTTAACTGAAAGAAACTTGCACTGACATACCTTAAAATACTATCTCAAGTATTATCTCAAGATGCACTCCAGTAATGTTTTCTTCTAAGGCAGTGGTTCCCAAACTTTTTGCAGCATGCACCCTTTTCTAGTGTTTGACACGTCAAGCACCCCCACCACCGTACTCCGGTTAAACACCACATTTTTTAGTGCAATACAAGTATAAATACAAGTATTCACTGTATACAGGGCTTGACATTAACTCTTTTGCTCACCAGCCACTGTGGCTAGTGGTTTTCCAAAATTACTAGCCACTCAGCATTTTCACTGGCCACAATTTTGTTGCTGGAAAATTACATTTTATATGACTAAAGTTACTGCATATTAAAATTTATTTGAATTGATTTCCAGGTTTG